TTATTGATCTAATTTACACTTTCATGTTCATGAAGGCCGTTCACGCCCGAAAATAGCAGGAGCCAGTAGAGGCGGGCGAGAATTAGAGGTACAGCAGTGGTAATAGAGTACATATAAAGTTTAAACATAAATTAATAACATTTCCAGAAAAAGACAGCCACTTAAAACTCGTATATACAACTGCATCATTAAACATAAGAAAATAGTAACACTACAATGTAGAATATAAATTATAAAGCCAGTTTATAATTAGTAATTTTTTGAAATAGAAGGGGCGATTCAACATAGTAATCCTCAGCCTCTAGGAACGAAAATAACATTTCCTTGAAGAGGTTTTTGAAAGCTCTCTTCGGGAGTTGACGAAGAGCATCGCAACTGGAGTTCCAAAGTTTAGTTCCGAATCTAGCAAAAGAGCTCTGGCTTTGATTCAGTCTCGATGGATTAATATAAAAATTGCCGAAAGGAGTGAGAACCTCGTATCGTGATTATGCTTTTCAGTAGGTTTAATGAAAAGATTACTGATGTTAGTAGGTACAGTTAGACATGAGACGTCAAACATAATTGAGGAAACTGATTCAACGTATAACATATTTATGGGGAGGATTTTTGAAGAGATAAATAAAGGTACCGCATGTGCTCTGGGTTCAGAAAAATATATCAGCCGAAGAACACGTTATTGTAGGACGAGGATTTTATGTAAATGGGATTTAGCAGCTTGGCTCAAAACAGCCACTCCATAGGATAGGTAAGGGAGGATCAAAGAGCGATAAATAGTTAATAGAGTGGTTAAAGGTTAGTCTCCCTCGCAGCCGTTTCTGTTTGAAATCTCAACCTGGTTAGTGTCCTAAAATCATATGTATGGTTTCTGGAGCCAGCCTCGTTCCCGTTAGTCTCCCTCGCAGCCGTTTTTAGTCTCGTCACGCAACGCTCCTCCCCACACGTTTGTGGGGAGGAGTGAAATTTCCAACTCGAATGACTATCCAATAAGACACCTAAATATTTTATATGAACCTTACATTCAAGAGAGGTAAAAGAATGATTACTATTATCAAACATTTCAATATTGACTGTAAGGTCCAGTTTACGTTGCCAACGTAAACTGGACCTTACAGTCAATATTGAAATGTAAAGACGAAAAATGACAAAGTTAGATTTTTTAGCATTTAAAGTTAGTTTATTTGCATTGAGCCACTCAGAAACTTTGACCAATTCACTATTGACCGTTGCTTCAAGGGTCTTGAGATTTTTATCGGCATACAACAAATTTATGTCATCTGCATAAAGATAAAACGAAATTTCGAAGAGGAGTGATGAAAATCATTAATATAAATTAAGAATAATAAAGGGCCAAGAACAGAGCCTTGAGGGACACCACACGAGGTCTTATTAATGTTGGATAGATTAGAATCTAATTCAGTCACTTGTGTACGACCATGGTTAGTAGAGGGGCCAGTCCCCTCTACTAACTATGGTACGACCAAGAAGGCACGAGGAAAACCAGTCATTAATGATGCCCATGATACAATAATGGTCAAGTTTTTTTAGTAAGATTGAATGGTTAACGGTATCAAAGGCTTTTTTTAGATCTAAAATTTTTGGCAAAAGGACAACTTTCTGTTTGAAATCTCAACCTGGTTAGTGTCCTAAAATCATATGTATGGTTTCTGAAACTAGCCTCGTTCCCGTGGCCTTTCCCTTTATTTGGGACTAGGGCGAAGTTGTTCTGGAACACATGATCATTAACAGTATCCTTGACAAGTTCCCAGTCTCTCGTCGAAATGTTCAGCAGGCAACCGTGGACGATACTGACTCTTGTACGTTGGATCAGCGATGATCTGATCGGCCCAAAATAACGAATATGAAATATAAATATAGAGGCAAGACCGATACAACGTAGATAAGTAAATTTTAAGAAGGAGCACTATATTTCGGCTGGCCAAACCAGCCTTCTTCAGGTGCAGTGGGAATTG